CCCTAATAGTTGGAAAAAGATAATCGGTCTGATGGTGTTGCTGCACGAGCAAGGTGAAGGGCTACCATCGTGCGAGGAAATGAGAAGTATTTTTCTTTTTAAGCAAAGTCCGAAGAGGAGAGTTGCTGAGTCCTCGTGTTGTTTCTTTGCCGGAGCGAAACCGCAGCACGGCGTTAAAGTTGGAGAAATAATAACCGAGATCCCGGAGAGTCTTCACGGTTTTCAGGAGGAATGGCTATGGATTGGCGGGGAGTGGCAATCCGAGGGCTTTTTCCATGAACCCCGAATCAACGGGATGACAATCCCTATGTTTATTCATTCCAGAGCAAGTGAGTTTGTTTTATATTTTCAATTCGGATATACGTTCCTGATTTTGGTGTTGTTCTGTGTACTAACAAGTCGGAACTTTTGCCCTTTGTAGAAAAAGAGACCAAGCAGAAAGAACCGAAGTTGAGTCCGGAGTTCGGTGGAAAGTTGATCACTTTGGCTAGTTTAGATAAAGAAGCTCGAGATTATCGCACACTCCTAGTAGATTCAAAACTCGAAGCTGCTGGTTTATCTCTCGGAGTTGCTACTTCAAAATTTGACCCCGGTAAGAGAATTTTAAATTATGGTGATTTTGTCGGACTTTCTATACGTGTAGAATAGCGGTTTGTAACTCTGTTTATCTATTGCCGGAATGCAGTATATTATCCACTCCTCGGCTTTTTGGGCTATAGCTCTGTCAAAGAAGCTAAGGAGTTCAGGCGCAAGTTTCCGAATAGAGATCTCCAATCTAAAGTTGGTAAGAGTCGAGATCTGAGATTGAACGACGCCATGAGGAGGGATCTAGTTCGTGCCTTGATGAAGAAAACTGCGGGCCAAAAGAATGTCGGTAAGAAATCGACCGAGGTGGGGTCGAGCGCGACTTCGGCCGCTATTCCTGAAAACCCGAAGTATGTGCCAGAGGTGACATCTACTGAGGTGCTGTCGGTCGTGAATGCTGCTGCGATTAACCAAGCAGATCTGGAACCTGTTGTAGCGGAAACAGAGATAGTTACGGCCGAGGTCGTTCGCACCGATGTGCCACCCTCTTCTCCGAAGTCCCTGGAGTTGGTGGAACAACCAGAGAAGAAGAAGAAAAGAAAGTTGGTGAAGATGGCAGATGTTGGCACTTCTTCCGGAGTAGAAA